GGAAAACCACAGAATTTATTGTAGCACATAAATTTGTACAGTGCATGACTCAAGCCCTCTCCCATCCTGTTTGCTCAGTTGTTCTTGGTTTGATACACATCAAGAAAGGTCATTTACATGTAATTACTTTTTTTTTATTAACAGTTGCAATTTTCTTGACTGTGCAATGAGAGCACTGACTTTCTTGATCAATATCAAATAAGCAAACATGAAAATCCTACATTTACTCATGTTAAATATGATGAAAGGGAACCCAGTTTGAGATTAAATTAAAATTGCAGTAGCCAGTCTTGCCTGTAACCTCTGTGGCTCAGGCCAGAAGGGAGATGAAGAAGGCTTCAGCTTGGACACCAAAATCTTGGTTTCGTATTTTCAAAGGCGCTGGCTACTGTAGCTTTAGGTGAGGTTTTGCAATATAAGCTTAATTTCTGAGTATGGTGTGTGGTGGTGGTGAACTTCTAAATAACTTAAAATTCCATCTTCCATAGCATGTGGGAAGAACTGCAGATTCCTGTGCATTTCCTCCATATAGCTGCCTTCATTTCAGTCGCGTTGTTACCATTTTATCTCCTTCTTCTCCTGGCGTGGTTTAAAAAAATGGCTTTGAGGGGAAGAAACCATAATCAGGGCACTTGAAACCTTGAAAGAATACATTTGTTGCACACAGTAAAAAGAAGAAAGACAGGTAGAGAGCAGAGGGTGGAGGAGATGGAAAAAATTACAAACAATAGATGCTGAGTAGTAATCATATTGCATGTATGAAATAATGCTCATATGATTGCAATTTTTACCTGTAGTAAGTCCTGGGTTAGTCTGATAGCTTGCATTTTAAATAGTCCATTGTAGGTAGTTTTGTTGTACTTAAATTCTCCAAAATTTTACAACCCCTGATGGATCAGGGGAACCAGGTGGGGGTCAGTCTCTTTCCCAGGTACCAAATGACAGGACGAGAGGAAATGGCCTCAGATTGCAGCAAGAGAGGTCTGGGTTGGATATAGGAGAAAATTTCTTCATGGAAATGGTGCTCAGGCACTGGCACAAGCTGATCACCATGGAGTCACTGTCCCTGGGAGTGTTCAAACAGCATGTGGCACTTGGGGACAGGGTTAGTGGTGAGCATGGAGGTGGTGCTAGGCTGATGGCTGGACTCGATGATCCTGGAGGTCTTTTCCCACCTTAATGATTCTGTGATTCCATAATCATTACAGAAATTGCACCGTTGTGTAAGAGTTGAGTTGCCTGTAGCAACAGTTCCTTTCCTTCTGTTATGTTTCCTTCCCTCCCACTCCTTGCTCTAGAAGAAACTCTTTCCACAGCAAAATATATAGAGAGATATATTAAAGAAAAAAGAAATCGTAACACACTTTGGTATCATGTGTATCCTTTAAACATTTTATCTCTTTAGATTTCTGCCCTCTGGCCTGAAGTGCCTGAAGCTGCCAGGTTTTGTTGTGTGGGTTTGGGGTTTTCCCCCACCCTTTGGAGCAGGGATCCTGGGCTCCAGGGGCTGCTGTTTGGGAGCAGCAGTGCAGTGAGCTACAGACATGGAGACACTTCCATCTCAGTGGTTTTGAACAAAGCTGACCAAGCTGTAACATGGCTTTGGTGCTGTCATAGTGGTACCTAGAAAAAGAGTGCAATGAGAGAACCAGAGCTAGACATTTTGGTTTTTGGATGAGACATCACCAGACAGCAAGAGAATTGTCACAGGCTTTAGCTGCACATATTTGTTGAAGGCTTGGAAAGCTGGGACTGTTCAGCCTGGGGAGGGGAAGGCTCTGGGGAGAGCTCAGAGTGCCTTGTAGGGCCTGAAGGGCTCCAGGAGAGCTGGAGAGGGACTGGAGACAAGGGATGGAGGGACAGGACACAGGGAATGGCTTCCACTGCCAGAGGGCAGGGCTGGATGGGATATTGGGAAGGAATTCTTGGCTCCCAGGTTGCCCAGAGCAGCTGTGGCTGTCCCAACCCTGGAAGTGCTCAAGGAAGGCCATGTTGGACAGGGTTTAGAGCAATGTGGTTTGGTGGAAGGTGTCCCTGCCCATGGCAGGGGGTGGGACTGGATAATCTCTAAGGTCCCTCCCAACCAAAACCTTTGTGGAATACTGTGATTCTTCATTTAAAGTTCTGTTTCAAATCACACTTCACATTCCTTCAGGCTTTTTGGAGTATTTTGAATGGCTTTTTAGAACTTACTGAAAAACATTGTTTCTGCATTGTTTATTGTGAAATGAGGCTGTTTCTTCTTTAAGTGCATTTCTGGGAGGTGTAAAAAAGGTTCTGCTTAGATATTCTGGGATAAGGATCATAGGCCATACAAAAATATATTAGAGAGGGATGTATTTCAAAGCTTCCATAGATATTTACATAGATGCAATGTTTTATAGAATCAGAATCCCAGAATGACTGAGCTGGAAGGGACCTTAAAGCTCATCCAGTTCCACCCCCTGGACAGGAACACCTTCCACCATTCCAGAGTGCTCCAAGCCCCATCCAACCTGGCCTTGTACACTTCCTGGGATCCAGGGGCAGCCACAGTTGCTATGGACAACCTCATAACCAAAAATATTTCTTCCTAATATCCCATCAAAAACCACTCTCATACAGTTTAAAGCCTTTCCCCCTCATCCCATCACTACATGACCATGGTATGAACTAACCCAGTGCAGCATGTTCTGAGCTCTGCTGGAGCTGGGGCTGTCCCCCTGTGTTCACCTGGAGAAGAGAAGGATCCAGGTAGAGCTGAGAGCCCCTTGCAGGACCTAAAGGGGCTCCAGGAGAGCTGGAGAGGGACTGGGGACAAGGGATGGAGGGACAAGACACAGGGAATGGCTTCCACTGCCAGAGGGCAGGGCTGGATGGGATATTGGGAAGGAATTGTTCCCTGGGAGGGTGGGCAGGCCCTGGCACAGGGTGCCCAGAGCAGCTGTGGCTGCCCCTGGATCCCTGGCAGTGTCCCAGGCCAGGTTGGACATTGGGGCTTGGAGCAGCCTGGGACAGTGTAAGGTGTCCCTGCCCATGTCAGGAGTTTAGAAAGGGATGCCATTCAAGGTCTCTTCCAACACCCACCATTATGGGTTTCAATGAATCTATATTTCTGGGTGGAAATAGAAATCTTTGCTGTGATAAAGCATGTTTTAACTCAGTGATGTTCCCTTTAAATGCTGGAGATTGAACATCAAAGATAGGTCTGCTCTTTTGACTTCTTGCCACTTTCTGGTTCCCTTTTTGAATGTTTGAAATGCAGGGCTCCTCAGGCTGGAGTTACATTTCTGGTGAATCCAACGGTTTTGTCCAAGAGGACCAAAATGGATTGAGTCAGCAAAAGAGAGCCTGTGGGTTTGGGATTGCTAATGCTCAGATCTTGCTGAGATGTGTGCTGCTCCTGATGAATACTATTGCCCATTTCTCCACCTCCAAACTCTGCTCCTTTGGATAACTTTGATTTTGCCAGGAATGACACTGCTCAGTAATTTGCTCTGTAGGATGTTGAGCCTCACTCTCCCAGGTCCAAATGCAAGATGCCAGGAGGAAGACTGGTGAGCAGGCAAAGCCCCAGCCTAGAATGTGAGACAAATATTCCCATACTATTGCCCATTTACTCAGTGACTTGGGAAGGCTGCACAGTTCTGATGTTTTGGCTCTGTAGCTTTTGGAGGGACCCAGGCACGCTGTGGTTCAGCTGTACCCCCGAGCTGGGTCTTTGCTGCACCAGAGAAGGGAGAAAGCAGGGCTGAGGTTCAGTGTGTGAAAGTCTCAGGCTCCGCCTGGGTGGCACCAGGATGTAAAGGGAACATCAGCTCAGGCAGAAGCCCGTGGGGATCTCTGCTGGCTGTGCAGCAGGACAGGAGAGGCCATTTCTTACATCTGAGGGATTGGTTCCCTGTGCATGACGCCGAGTTCTTCGGCCCGTGGTCATGTCTGTAACAACGGCCGGATGTGGCAAAACCCAAAAGTACAAAACATTTCTGTTTGTCACAGAGAGCCTTGTGCAGGTCCTGGGAGTGCAGCACAGAGCTGTAAGGATGAACTCATGTGTTTATTCTCCAGCCTGAACAGACAGGTTTCTAAGGATCCATCCCTACAAATACAGAGAGTCCTCCTGGGGAAACCCACCCCAAAAATTCTATGAGCAGTCTGGCTTAAATGTCTTGGGGAAGTTGTTTGTGGATTGAAAAATATAACCAGGATCTGAAAGTACCGACTCGTTTGTATTAGTTTTCTTCTACAGTGCATTTGCCCTTGAATTGCCAATGTTTTCTGAAGGCTTAAACACCATTTTATTAAAAAACTTTTTTGAAAGTAAACCCTAAAAGATCCCAAGACCCCTGAATGAAGTCTGGTGTTTGCCTACAACTGCATTTTCCTCTTTTTCACCATTTTGCTCAGAATATTGGAAATGCTGAACATTAGGGCAGAACTGGTGTGTGGTTTTCCGGCTGGGATGATGAACTGCAGAGGTGGTTATTCCCTCCTGACTCGTTGGGGATGCTGCAGAATACAGATAAGCTGCTTCTCTTTGACAGTGGTACTCATTTAAAGGTCTCTGCTGTTGCCTGTCCCAACCAGTGATGCCTCTGGATTACCCCCACCAGAGGAACAGCAAAGAGTGGCCATGCTCCCAGATCATCCTGCTCTGAGGCTCACAGAGCCAATGTTGGGACAAGATTACACTTGGGGATCTCTGGTCCCAGCTCTTCCTCTCCTGAGACTCAGCCTTCCTGGAGATCTGTTGCCACCACACGGACCCACTGCACTGTCACTGCTGTGGCCAGGCCAGCAGTGGTCACAGCAACCATCCCTCTTTTCAGGGGATGCTGATTCCCCCAAGTGCCACAGGGGACAGGATCTGGTGAGCTCCAGTTCTCTTCCAGCGAGGGTGTGTAACTGTGCCCTCAAAGGGCAGAAGTTGCTCTAAGTGTTGTCAAATAATGAGTCATTTCTGATGGAGGCTTGAGGGCGCAGGCGGCGCCAGCTCAGGGACCGCCCGGGCACTGCATCACAGCCTCACCAGCAGAGAAATCAGGAAATTGGGCCCCGGCTCTGTCTGGGAGATACCCTTGAACGTAGTGCTTGGCTCTGTGTAGGAAAGAGACTTTCCAGGAGTTCAGGAATCCGAGCCCAGGCTCAGCTGGGAGCTTCCCCTGCCATCGCTGCCCCCGACCCCACATGGCTGAGGTAAGAGCGAGGTCCGAGAGGCGCTGAGGGCACAGGAGGTGTTGGAGGGACGGGCAGGGTGCTGAGCGTGCTGGGCAGGGGGGGAATGCCCGGGTGTCCCCCATGCTCCAGCAGAGCAGCTGTACCTGCCCTTTGTCCGAGTGACACCCAGGGCAGAGGGGTGCTCGTGTTCCGGAGGGGAGTGCACAGCTCTCAGCTCCATCGCACCCAGAGCTGCAGCCTCTGCAGGCGCTGTCCCCTCCAGTCACAGAGCTGTCAGGTGTGGCACCTCCTCAGCTGGAGTAACCCTGTGCACGGGGAATAAGCTTGAGCTCTCCAGTCCAGGACTGGGACAGCTCTACCAACCCCCACTATGATTCTGTGCTTCTCAACCTCATCGCAATTACTCGTGTCTACCAATTCACAAAAGTACAGAACAGCCCCAAAACAAAGAAGGGGCCAAATATCTCCTCTCAGGCTTTCTGCTGCACCTCTGCTTGTGGGGACATTCATTCCAGTGATGGGAACCTGATGGATCAAACAGCTCCAGGAACAAAGAGCTGCTTTAGGACAAGGCATATGAGTGTCACCAGGAGGGAGGTGATTCACTGCTGTCCCTGCTGGTGCCTGGGTGTGGCATTGGCTAGTGCCCGGGCTCTGCCGGGGACAGGTGTCCCTGTGGGGTGTGTGTCCATCACCCTGAGCCCCAGGCCCAGCTGGGCAGAGAAGCTCTTCCCTTTGGTGCTCAAGTGGAGGATCTGTCCCTTCCCAGCACCAACTGCTGCCTGCACACGGGGGCAGAACTGAGCAGACAGTTGCTGCTTTTCACCCGAAATTTCTGTCCTGGAGCAGCAGAAAATGAAGGGCAGTTGTCAGAGCTGCCACCGGCCGTCCTGTCTCAGCCTTCGCTCCTTGGAGCAGGATGTACCATGGCAGGGGTAGACCCTGTTCTGAAGTTCTGTGTTCATGAGGTCCTCACTGTCCTGGCAGTGATCTGAGCTGCACCCAGTCTCATCAGCCTTTGGCTGTGCCTGCTGGTGAACAGGCACACAGTGGCTGCCTTTGCAGCCCTAACTTCACCAAGACAATCATATGTGCTGTGGATGGGCTGTGAGGCGAGGGGATGGCAGTGCTGGCTAACGATGGCTTCTGGTACTAACCTTGTAGCGGGTGCAATTGTCTCTGTTTTGTTGTTGTGGATATGGGCTGGCATAATCAGATAGTCCTTGGATCCACACTGCCACAGACGAGTTCACCACCAGTGATGCAGAGCAGTGATTGTGACTCACTTTCCAAAGGAGCAAAGTCATCTCTGCTCCAGGGAGCTCAACCCACAGCGTGGGTAGCAGGGCAGGGGGGGATTCTGCCCCGCTCAGGTGAGACCCCACCTGCCCTGGGGAACAGCAGCAGGAGGACGTGGAGCTGCTGGAGCCAGCCCAGAGGAACCACGGAGATGCTCCAAGGGCTGGAGCCCCTCTGCTCTGGGGACAGGCTGGGAGAGCTGGGGGTGCTCACCTGGAGAGGAGAAGGATCCAGGGAGAGCTGAGAGCCCCTTGCAGGACCTAAAGGGGCTCCAGAAGAGCTGGAGAGGGACTGGGGACAAGGGATGGAGGGACAGGACACAGGGAATGGCTCCCACTGCCAGAGGGCAGGGCTGGATGGGATATTGGGATGGAATTCCTCCCTGGGAGGGTGAGGAGGCCCTGGCACAGGGTGTCCAGAGCAGCTGTAGTTGCCCCTGGATCCCTGGAAGTGTCCAGTGCCAGGTTGGACAGGGCTTGGAGCAGCCTGGGGCTGGTGGAAGGTGTCTCTGCCCATGGCAAAGAGTTGAATGAGATGCGTTTTAAGGTCCCTCCCAAACCATCCCATTCCCTGATTCTGTGATTCTCCCAAGGAGGTCACACTGGAGATGAAGGACTCCAGGAGGAAAAGACCCACAATTTTAAATTGCAAAGCTATCATATGTATCCCAGCATGACCAGTTGGTGTCAAGGGCAGCACAGAGACACTGTGCATCATCCGTCAGCCAGTGCATGTGACAGTCCCACCTCAGCCCAACCTGGCCTGTGTCCCAGTGCCAAGCAGCCCCCGCATCAGCCCTGCTGCATCCCACATCAGTGGGGCCCTGGTGACTCAGAGCTCCTGAAAGAGGAGGTGAAAAAGCAAGTTCCTGGTAAAAAACCACATTGCTCCTGCACAGCTGTGGTGCAGGGCTCCTGCTGCGAGCTGGGGCCCCTCTTTGGTGTCAGAGGCAGAGAGCAGGAGTGCTGGGTCCTGCTCCCATCCATGTGTGGGACAGGAGTGTCCCCAGGACACATCTGCCACACACAGAGTTTTCAGCCTTTTCCTCCATCCTGTGGTGTGAGGCTGTGTGAGGGACAGGAGCTGCACTGCCCGGGGGAGTCTGTGGGACAGCAGCCGTGACCTGGGACCAGTCAGCTCAGCCCCGTCCCTCCACAGCCCCTTTGGTTTCTTCTGCAGGTGGCAGCAGGAGAGGACAGGCAGTCCCTGATGCGCTGACAGTTGGCCATGCCTGGGGTGAGCGGGGCTGCACAGGGACACCAGCAATGCCAGCAGACACCGGGGGGACACCTGGTGTGCCCCCAGGACTGAAGTGGGGTGGAGGAGGGCTCGTGCCCATTGCCCCTGGTCCCCAGCCAGGGTTTCAGATGGTCCTTGAGGCTGGCCCTGGTGCTTGTGGGAAGCAGAGGGGTCCAGCTCTCGCTGTCCCTACTGACACTGCTTTCTCCTTGCAGAAGCACTGGCCCCCCGGGACGCAGTGTGTCACCAAGCATGACCACAACAAGCCCAAGCCCCGGGAGCTGGCCTTCCGCAAGGGAGACATGGTCACCATCATCGAGGCTGTGGAGGTGAGACCCACGGGTGCTCAGGTACACGCTGTGCTGAGAGGGCATGGCCGGAATGGGACTCCAGTGCCATCAGCTCAGCTGCCAGAGCCAGTCCCTTCCTTCCAGAGGGATCCCCCCTTCCTTGCCTTGCTCTGAGACCCTCTCGTCCCCAGGGCAAAGGCTGGTACCGCGCCAGGCACAACGAGACGGGGCAGGAGGGGCTGCTGGCAGCCAGTGCTCTGCGGGAGCGTGGGGCCATCCGCGCCGACCCCAAACTCAGCTTGATGCCGTGAGTACAGCGGGGGTGTCTGGGGGGCCCCGGGGACCCAGCTGAGCCCCTGGGAGCTGCAACAGCAGATGAGTCCAATGTGTTCCCCCCCATCCATGTTTTGGGTGGCAGCTGGAGACAGAGCATCTTCTAGCCATGCCCAAGCAATGGAGGGATTTGTTGGGGCCAGTACCTGGCTTTCAGGATCCCTAGTTGTGCCCCTCTCCAGCTTGGAGAGGGGTTTCATTAGTAGGGTCTGTGTAACTTCTGCTTTCCCCGTCTCACTGGGAGAAGCCCCCTGGCTCAGCCTCTCTCCAATGCCCCTCTCCTCAGCTGGTTCCACGGGAAGATCTCAGGGACAGAGGCAGTGCAGGAGCTGCAGCCCCCTGAGGACGGGCTGTTCCTGGTGCGTGAGTCTGTGCGGCACCCCGGTGATTATGTGCTGTGCGTGAGCTTTGGCAAGGAGGTGATCCACTACCGTGTGGTGCACGAGGACAACACGCTCAGCATCGACAGCCAGCAGTACTTCTCCAACCTCATTGACATGATTGAGGTGAGACCCCGCCTGGGCACAGAGTCCCAGCAGTGCCAGACAAAGGCAAGGACCTCATGGGCTCACACGGAGGCAGGTCCTTGTCCTGTTCTCTGTGGTTTTCATTGGTGTTTGTTACCTGGTGTAATTCTCTATCCTCTTCAAAGGCTCATCGTTCCAACTCAGTTTGGGGTGCAATGGGCGGATCTGGGATATCCCAAGGATGTCTCTGCAAACCAGCTGTGCCAGCTGCAGTCCCAGTCCCTGGCCAAGGACCGCATTACCCCTGTCCCTGCTTATTCAGTGCTTCACATAGCAGGAAGACCCTGGTGGCCTCTGCCTCCCCTGGACTCTGAGGCATTTTGCTGTGTCTCCCTCCACTCAAAGTCCACTCTCACCTGCTGACCCCACAGGGTTCCCAGGCTGTTGTGTGAGCTCTCGCCCTTCCAGTGAATTTTTCTTGGTGATCCGTACCTCACCCTGTCTCCTCTCCTGGGAATTGCACTCCCTTGTTTCCCTTTTAGACACAATTTTTAGGTGGCTCCTTTCCCTTCTCAGCTGCCCCAGCCTCACTTCAAAACTCCAAAGGCTGTCCTGTCCCATCCCATCTTGTCCCATCCTGTCCCATTCTGTCTGGCTGCATCCGCTCCCATCATCTCTGCAAACTGCCCTCAGCTGCTGCAGCACCTGCTGGGGATTCAACCACACTGGGAGCTCCCATATCTCCTGTGCCCCATCATGGTGCTCCTCTGGTTGTGCCCAGAGGGGGACAAGGCTGAGACATGGGCTGCCCTCGAGGGTGGCGATGGTGCAGTCTCATGGAGCATCCTAAAGCTGTTCCCTGGGCTCACACCCCGAGCCTGAGGGTAAGAGCTGGCATCACCTCCATCTGTTCATCCCTTGGCAGCATTACATGAAGGAGCAGGGAGCTATCTGCACCAAGCTGGTGAAGCCCAAGCCAAAATCTGGGATGAAGTCAGCTGAGGAGGAGTTGGCCAAAGGTAGGGGATGGTGGGAGGGGGCTGTGGTCTGCATTTTAGGGACAAGGCCCCACTGGTGGCCCCTGCTAACCTGTCCTCGTGCCCATGCCCAGCTGGCTGGTTGCTGAACCTGAAGCACCTCACACTGGGAGACCGCATTGGGCAAGGCGAGTTCGGAGGTAGGTGAGAGGATGGGACTGGATGTTCCCCAGGTGCAGCTTCCCCAGATGGCACTGCCTGATCCCCCTCCCCATCTCATGGCATGGGGGGGCTCAACCTGGGGTGCAGGTGTGGTGCTCAGCCTGACTCTCCCATGTTCTCCCAGATGTCCTACAGGGCGAGTATATGGGGCAGAGGGTGGCTGTGAAGAACATCAAGTGCGATGTGACTGCCCAGGCCTTCCTTGCTGAAACAGCTGCCATGACGTGAGTGCTCCATGGAGGTGTGGCCCAACCCTGCCTGTAGCCCGGGATGAGCAGGCATCTCCTTAACTCCCCTCCATTCCAGGAAGGTCCGACACAAAAACCTTGTGTGTTTGCTGGGAGTGATCCTGCACAATGGCCTCTACATTGTCATGGAGTTCATGAGCAAGGTAAGAGCACCTGGCTGCTGCTCTGCCAGTGGGACCCATCACCACTTAGATTTGGGAACAATATCCCTGTCTAGGGGCTGAGTCATCACAGATGCCTGGCACTGCAGCACCTGCAGAAGGAAAAGTCTCCTGGCAGCTCCATCCTGTTGGTCCTGACTCATTTTATCCTCCTGTCAGGGCAACCTGGTGAACTTCCTGCGCACGCGGGGCCGGGCGCTCGTCCCAACCCAGCAGCTCCTCCTGTTCGCCCTGTAAGTGCCTCTCTGTCCTCTGGGCTGGGATCCGGGGCTCTGCACCCCACCGTGCAGCCCCAGGGGACACACAGTGACACGGCTCTGTCTCACTCGGTTGTGGCAGGGATGTGGCTCAGGGCATGGACTACCTTGAGTCCAAGAAATTGGTGCACCGGGACCTGGCTGCCCGCAACATCCTCATCTCCGAGGAGAACGTGGCCAAAGTGAGCGACTTTGGCTTGGCCCGGGTCAACCCCAAGGGTGCAGATGCCACATTGCTCCCTGTGAAGTGGACGGCACCAGAGGCCCTGAAACACAATGTGAGTGACAGTGAGAGGGAAGGGGTTGGCCAGGGGGTCCTTGCAAAGAATCTCACCCCCTTGGCTTGCCCCTGCTTGCTCCCATTCTCACTGACCCATCCCTGCCCCACAGGGGCCTCTGGCACAGTCAGCCCTGCATCTCCCAAAATCCTGTCTCTGTCCTGAGCAGGCATGCAGTGGTAATTGGGGCAGGATGATGGGACTGGGGGGTGCTCACACCCTGGGGAGCTGAGGGGGGGCAGGGGGCAGTCACTGTCCTCTGTCCTGCCCTTGGGGAGCAGCAGGGACCCAGCACAGCCCTCATCTGGCTTCAGCCTCCCCCTCTCCTGCTGCCACAGAAATTCTCCTCCAAGTCGGATGTGTGGAGCTACGGGATCCTCCTGTGGGAAACCTTTTCCTTTGGACGGGCACCCTACCCCAAGCTGGTGAGCACTGTGCCAGGGAGCACCCCAGGTTACATCCCACTGGCACTCACGGGATGGGGACATGCCGCTGCTCCCTGACCAGGGCAGGGAAGGGGGTTGCCAGCTAGCTTCTCCATCCTGGCAGGCCCTGAAGGAGGTGACGGAGCTGCTGGAGCAGGGCTACCGCATGGACCCCCCCGAGGGCTGCCCACCCACCATCTATGCCCTGATGAAGAGCTGCTGGGAGTTGGAGCCAGGCAAGCGCCCGTCCTTCAAGAAACTCACGGAGAAGCTGCAGAAGGAGCTGAAGCACCTGAGGGACATTTAACCCCCATTCTGCTACCAGGACCCAGGACCTGAAGCCCCTAGACTGTCCAGGGTTGGGAGTGGCAGGGCAATAGGGGCCAGGAACAGGATGGCCTGTGGTGCTGCTCTCTCCCTGTAGAGGTGGGGCAGCAGCCTCCCTCCATCCCAGCATGGTCCTTCCACCCACCACACAGCCCAGAGAAGGCTGCCATGGGATTGATTTCCCCTGACTCACCAGAGTAGGAAGCACAGACCCCAAGGGAGCCATGCCCACACCCTGTGCTCAGCCCCAGGAGCGGATGCTACATGTGGGGTCCCTTCAAGCTGCAACTCCCAGTGATGGGAGACAGGACTGGACATCTCCACTCACTGGAAGATGAGACCTCACCCTGATTCAGCCCTGCTCCAGTGCCCAGCCCCACATGGGGATGCTGGCACAGCCAGCTAAACCACATGGATTTGAGCTTTTTTGATTAAACCAAAGAAATTAGTTTAACAGCATCTTTAAGCCTCTGGGGTGAAATTAGGCCTCTCTCTCACTTGGGGCCTAACAAAGCCCAGTGAAAGGCTTTTGGGAGGCCAGGAGCTCTGGCCTTGGAGCACCCCATACCATCCAGCCCCTCTCCCATCGGGGCTCTGTGCAGCAGGGGATTATGCTTTAATCAGAGGCTGTATGGGAATTGCTTTCATATAGATTACAGGCACGGGGCACATCCTCAGCAGTGGGGAGCCCTCAGCCCTGCAGGCTCCCAAGCAATCTCGAGTCTCGCTGGAGCAGGGATTAGCGGGGGCACAAGGGTGGGTGTGCACCCGCCACCACCTCATCTGCCGCCAGTCCTTTGACCCTCGATTGGGTTTTTTCGGCTAATCCTCTTGTGTCTCCTATGTGCTGACTTCCTGCACCGCCAATTCCCCTGCATGCATGGTTTTGGGTGCCCACGGCATGGGACTCCCACCAGGGCTTGTGCCGGCCCCATGGGTACTGCCCCAATTTGGGATCCGTGTAATGGGGGTATTTCAGCCTGACCCAGTGTGAGCTGCAATTCAATGACTCCTTCTACCTCCCCATCACTCTGATGTGGCAGCATCTACAGTCCCCCTGCACCGCTACTGTCCCCTGCAAGCACCCTTGGGTGCAGCGAAGGGAAGGTCTTTCCACCCTGCCTGTGGCTTCCCCTCCTAATGCCTTAATCCGCCCCTGATCCGCGGCGCCCCTGGGGCTGGTTCCGCTGACCTTGCAGGCACAGGGACCTGGTGGGTACCCTGGGGCAAGAGCTGCTGCCACCACCCAGCATGGCCTCCTTCTTCACGGCCGCCCTGAAGAGCTTCCAGGGGGGCAAGGACGAGTCACCCAAGGCAGCCCCCAAGGAGGACAAGGCAGCGGCGCTGCCCAACGGCATGGCCCGCGAGGAGTTTGAGGAGTACCAGCGGCAGCTGCTGGAGGGGAAGTAAGGCTTTGCTGGGGCTGGGCGGGTCACTAAGGTCCCCCAACACACCAGAATCAGGATCCCACCCGCTGTGGGCTTTCCCCAGGGTGGCACAGGACAGGGATAGGGAGGCAGCTTGGCCAAGAGATAGTGCAGGGCAGCCTGTGTGTCTCCCCCACAGCATGGGAGGTCCATGGAGTTGCTGGCACAGGGCTGTGAAAGCACCTTCATGCACCGCAGGTAACAAGGGGAACCCTCAGGTGTCAGAGCCCTAGGATGGTTCCAGCCCAGCACCCTTGGAGCCAAGGGATGGGGGGGTCAGCATGGATTGGATTAAGGTCCCACTTCCCTAGGACCAGGTGCTGTGGGAACCCAGTGGCTCAGCACCAGGGAGATGAGAGGCTGCAAGAGGAACAAGTCCCTGCAATGGGCACCTTCATCAGACACCTTTAAATCTGGGTGCTGAGCTGGGTGGACAGGACCTGGGTCCTGTTCCCAGATCTCCACTTTCACCCTCTTATGCGTCTCAGACCTTCTCCCTCCTGCCCTAGACTGGCTCTGCAGGAAGACCAGGGTGATGTGGGGGTGTTCCTGGGGGGCTCAGTGAGGTAGGGATGATGGTGTGGCACCTGCTGCAGGATCGAGCGGGACAAGATGTTTGCACAGAGGAAGGCAGAACGGGCCACGGTGCGGATGCACCTGCGGGACAAGTACCACCTGGCCCAGGTAAGAACCAGCTTGTCTGCGGACCTGGGGGGCTGCCCTTGACCCTACATCACCCGGAACAGCCCCAGGCCCACGGCTGCCATGCTCCCCTGGATGGGAGGGATTCCTGAAGAGGGCAGCAGACGGCCACTGTCTCCGTTTGACGATCCAGCCTACTGTCCATCCAGCGTCCGAGTCTGGCACTGGACAGTCCTGGAATCCCCCGTGTCCCCAGCACCCTGGGACTGGCTGTTCTGTGTCCCCCGTCCCTCGCTCCACCGTGGTAGGCACCGTGTCTGTCCCCACCCGACATCCTCTACCACCCGCGTTCAGGACGAGCGGGACGGCGCCCAGGTGCATGTGGCCGGAGGTGCGGTGGAGCTGCCGCAGGACCTGGCAGCCATGGTGCACAGCGAGAAGGAGGAGGAGGAGGATGGCAGCGCCGGGGCCTTCGCCTTCCTGGCGAAGCTGCGGGAGGTGGAGCTGCCGGCGCTGCGGGACCGCGCGCTGGGCGGTGTGGACGAGGTGAAGGAGAAGTGCGTCCTGATGTAGCACCGCTGGCAGGTGACACCGGCAGCCCCTGTCCCGGGATGCGGAGGCTCTGGGTGCCTTCACGTGGGGTGCGGGTCCGAATACGCATGTTAGGCGCGGGTTTTCTTCCCCAAAATCATTCCCGGTTGCTTTCCCAGGATGTGCAGGGGTGTAGAATGCCTGGGTACCCTCCAGCCGTTATGGTCAGGTCCCTCTTGTGGTGCTCCTGGTGTGAGCCCTCATATGGGGCAGGTCCCTGACACTGTGCACCCCCCTCACCAGCCTCGGCACCGTGCACCATTTGGCTCAATAAATACAGCATTTGCTGGCACCATTCTGGTCGTCCTGCCATATCCCGCAACTACACAGTCCCTGTCCTGGTGAGGGGACATGATGACAGCGCTGGAGCCGGGCTGCCCCATGTTCCCTGAGCCACCAACCAACCCAGGGTCCGTCTTCCCCCTTCTGCAGCAGCCCCATCGGGACTCAGTGATCACCCTGGCTATCCCTTAGGGACAGCACCGGGAGGGGGTGTGGAGCATTTACTCCCGTGCTCGAGCATCCCCTGCCTGTGCGGGCAGCAGGGGCATCCCTTTGCCTGGGCCAGGGTGCCCGGCTGCCTCTTGCCCCGCCATGGACTCTGTCCTGGGCGCTAGGCAGCAGCGCTGGTTAAATGCCGCCGCGCCGGAAGGCCGGGGGCTGCTGAGATCACTAATACCTGCCTATTTTAGCGAGGTCTAATCTTCCTGAGTCGCCTGTCCCCGAGGACTAAGCTCGCTGAACCCGTGTGAAATGCACGGCCAGCGCTGGCCCCAGCGGCACCTCCCGCCGGAGCCGGAGCCGCCGGGAATCACGCTGTGTATGCATGAAAGGAAGGACGCGCTGAGCCGCCTCCGTCCTCCCCACGCCGCTGCCATCTGCTCCGGAAAGGCTGCGGGGACGGCCCTGCCCGGGCTGACCACGGCCGCAGGGGCCGGGCTGGGAGGGGGCGGCCGGATCCGGCGCAGGTGGGCTGGGAGCTGTCACCGAGCTCAGCGCTGGCACCGCAACCAGCGGGCTCAGCCTCTGCTGAGGAGCTGGAGCTCATGGAGCAAGGAGCTCCCTGCATGCACGAGGTGCCCAGGTCCCCCTGGAACACCTCCGGGTACCAGTCCAAGGGCTGGCGGCTGCTGGAGCATCCCAGGGAGCGTGAGGCAGGCTCGTCTGGGCCTGACAACAGGGGAGCCTCCTGATGTTTGATGGCCCCACTGTCCCTGCTGTCCTCATCATCCCTGCTGTCTCTGCCATCATTCCCATCCTATTTCACCAGCTTTTCTTCAGAACTTAGAAAATCTCCTTTTCAGGCCCAAACCCCACCTGTGGGATGGGACCGTCTGTGCCACGCCTGTCCCTCGCCAGGTCCCTGACAGGTAGCAGCTGTGGCACCCAGCACAACGCTGATCCCACCCCACATCGCTGCACTCTCCCCAGGGCTGGGCTCGCCACCAAGTGCCAGCTGCTGGAATGGTGGCACTGAGGTCCCCAACGAGCTCTGTCAGCACCACCCCGCTCCACATCGGGCCCCTATCCTGCTCTGATGGGCACCCCTCTCCCAGTGCTCCCAGTGGGGCTGCATGGGGACTCCCAGCGCCAGCTGGGATTCGGGTCAGGACCCTCCGCCAGGTCTCCTTGGCTAATCGTCCTGCCCCCCCCGCCCTCCCCATGCTGCCACCTGCCTCCCGCTCAGCACCCTTTTGGGTCACCCCTGCTGCCTCCCCGCCTGCCCAAGGCCTCTTAATGAACTAAAAAAGTGATAAATCCCCGGCCGAGCTGGTCACGTGAGGCCGGTGGCCCCCGGCCGCCCCCCGGCCCGACCCCCGCCTCCGGCCCCACCGCCCCGGTAAGCTGACGCAGCGTCTCTAAGCGTTAGCAGCTTTGCGCGCTAATAGGATTAGGGAGGTTTAAAACTGTCATTTGAGTGAACTAAACCCCCTGATACTCTGCATTGCACCTTCTTAACCAATTTGCCTTCAATTAGGGTAATTGGGAAACTAGCAAAGAAGTATAGCATTAATATTTTAAAGTGATGAAGCGATTACGGGCCTTGGACAAGGAAGCAAATCAATTTGCTATCTGCTCCTAAAAGGCAATTATAATCATTTGGCAAATCAGCCTGCTGCCTCCCCCCGGGCGAGGCAACACCTTGCGGCGGCCGCGGGGCCGGCCCGGCACACACAGAGCGCCGGGGCCGGGCAGCTGGGCAGCCCCCTGCCCCCAAACCCGCACCCTGGGGACCTCCCCGCACCCCCGGGCCAGTGGGGCACCCTGGGGAAACCTGCCGAGGGCCCAGTGTGGAGTACAAGGCTCCAGCACTCGGCACAGTGGCCAGCACGGGCATCTGGGCGAGTGGGGTCTAGTTTGCACCCCTGGCCCCACACATCGCCCCTGCCCCGGGGATGTCCCCAGTACCTCCGCAGGCAGCACCTCCCTGCTCTCCCCTGCACTCTCCTGCAGCGCTGCATGGCAGGCACGGGGGATGTCACCTCATCCCCAGGGGCTGCCTGGCCCGCCTGTACAGTGTCATGCCATCCCTGGTGTGTGGTCTTGTCGTCCCCGGGGCAGTGCCAGCCTGACCCTGGGGTGGTGGCACACTGTCCCCAGGGCGGTGGCGTGCCATCCCCAAGACAACATCACGCTGTCCCCAAAGAAGTGTGAGACGGGGGGTGAAGCCTCACAACCCCAGTGGGGGACAACAGGATGGCCTCGGGGCCCACACCAGGACACAGAGGGGGCTGCAGGGTCTCGCCAGCAGCAGCTCTGGTGAGGAGGGCACAGACCCACTCAGGGCCAGCAGCCACCCAGCACAGGATGCTGGGGTCCAAAACCCCCGCAGTGACATTTGCCATCTGAAAGGGGAAGCGTGGCAAGGAGGGGAAGGGAGTGGGAGGAAACCTAGACAGATCCGTGGGCGGTAGCAATTGCAGGTGGCAGGAAGATGGGTTTGG